GCTTCTTCAGAAGGCTTTTCAAAAGGAACCAACAATGTGCACCTTGAAAGGCAAGAAATCAAACAGCTTCAAACACTGTTAGAATTCAAACACCAAGACTGGCATAAGCATTTACCTGGGTCCATGTGATGCCGAGAGTCCTAAATATGCATATATGTAGGCGTGCCGTATGTGAATACACCGGGCATCCAAAGCCCAAAGATTTGCTGATCTGTGTGCAGTATGGAAGCTTGGAGTTTGACTACAACGCTGCTCTTTGAATGATGGATTTTTAATATAATGCTTTTAATGTGGGTGCGCACCTATACCTTACGCCAAGCAGCCCTGGCATCGTCACGCCACATGCCAAGTAATAGAGATAGGCGTGGAATGTGGTGAAAGATGAGTGGGCCATGAATGACCCAATCCTATGCCTTGCTCCTAGACAGCTGATGATCCATTCAAATGTGACTAGCAAATACGAGATTGTGTCAGTAACCTGTGCGCCATTTAAAGGCCATCTTGCGCATCCAGGCTCCTTGAACGGCTGACTGCCAACCCTCTGCGCTGGTTTCGTCCTTGGATAAATTTATTTTGAAACTTGACTGGTATCGCTGGTATGGTTTGGCAATCGGTGTTTTTCTGCGGTTTTCTTCCTGGATAAATGCCGAATCAGTGTAAGTATATAGCAGAAAGCATCGCAAAAAAGTCCTGGGTTGATTTACTGTGTGTGTCATTGGGGCTTAACGACGCACTCAGCTGCTGAGGTTATATGGCGTCGCCTGCCTCTCGCCCTGGCAGGAAGGGCGGGCACCGCGGGGAATCGAACCCCGTACCTCTGGTTTCCCAGACGCGCAGTGGTTAGCGCATAAGCGTTACGCAGACGCAGACGCGTTAACCACTACACTACCGGCACCCCTAGGTTGATTTATTGTTATGAATTTCACAGACATGTATTGGATGTCTAATACAGGACCACACTTCCAATTTAATCTAGGAATTGGGTGGTATTTGCTGTTTGAACATGTCCTGTGTAGTTGCATCAATGATATATCCATACAGGTCATTGAGTGTTTGCATTTGACCTGTGTTCTCTATGAACTGTGATGCATTTTCAAGTTGTGTGCAAAATTCAGGAGTGTAGTTTTTTCAAAATATTGATGTGCTTGGGGGGGGGGGGGAGCGGGGCTAAAAACCTTAACTTATGAAGCTGTTGACGGCTGGAGCTGGAGCCTACTAACTGATTGGAAAGCTGTACCCATAGCAGAATCTGCCACTGTTGTGGGATTCTTTTAGAAGGATTTTGCTGTCGTATTTAGATTTTATCCTCCCATACTGTGTAGTTAACTAATTGCACGTAGCTGTAGGTTTGACAGTTATTAAGCCATGATAGTCTTCTTTAAGGTAAAGCTTGTGAATGATAAATGTGCTCATCAGGTTGTAGGCATTGTATAGCTGAAAAGCTTTACAAGAAAAGTTATCTTCCACACTTTGTCATTTGTGTGCAAACAAATAACTGCTTTTCCGTTAACATTTATCACGAACAGTTGCTGGTTACTTATGTTTAAATTTGCGAAATTAAGAAAACACAAGTGCGGTAATTCTATAGGTAGAATACCCGCCAATACCCTCAATGCTGTCAGCAATGCCCGCTTAATGCCCTGCGTGCTTTTCAAGCCCGCGCTTCGCGGGCCTGCGGGTTTTAAAGTGGCAATGCGAGACGGCAGGTCCGCTGACGAGACGCGGCCCTCCGCCAGGGGTGCGGAGCCCTCCGCGCCCCGTTTCTCGCCGCCGCAGCGACCCTCCGCCGGCCGGACCGCAGTGCCACCGCGCCCGGCTGCGGCGCCGACCCTCGTCTCCCGTCGGGCCGGGCGGGCGCAGATTGGATGGCCTGACCGGAGGAAGTGTCGTATTTTTCGAGGAGGCAATGTCCGCCAATTGCTGGACGGCCCTATTGGTCGCGCGGCACTGACAAATGACAAGCTGGGGTCCGTTATGGGGCGATTTTGTCGGAGTGGAAGAGCAGCACATGCAAACCTAGGCGTTATCGGTTCTGGCCATGTAGTATCACGATTGGGCCGAGTGGTAGTTGTAGTTATGGTTGTGGTTGACGGCTCTTCCTCCTTGCGTTAGGCAAACTATGGGTATGAATTTAGGCCACGTCAACTCCGGGAGACGAATTGCAGTGAACACACCTGAATGTTGCCACGATTGCGTCCCCCCCCCCCCCTCCCCATTTCCACCACCATGCGCATCAGACTCTGTTCAAGCTTGTTTATATTCTTGGCTTGTAGTTGAGGAAACGTACCCTGGGCATCAGCATGTCACATCATTATTATTGTTGACTAAAACAAGTTTCGATGTAAAACGGAATTTAGTTTAAAGATTAATCACCATACAATTTCAGCCAACACAGTATCAAACGGTGTAGCACACAGGCGTCAGTTGCCACCGTACTGTGACTGTCCTACAGGCGTGCCAAGCCTGTCGGTGCACTAGGAAGCAGGTCTGCGTAATGGGCAGAACGTCGTGCACGTCATCTGACACGAGCGTGGAAAACACAGGGAAGTCCTCCATCCGGCTCGTGGCAAGGCAACCCCAGCGCGTTCCGAAGTATATTACATTGACTTCGTGAGGGCATCAGCTGTACTGTGCATGTGATCGTAGTTGTTGGAAAAGCATGCACTCCAGCCGAGCTCGCCTTCTGAGGGCAATGTGCGTAGCCACACCAATCAACACTGGAAATGGCTAAGTGATGCTGTTCACCAAATAGCATGACCTGGGGCAACCAGAACGTCAAAATTAGACATGTGCGGGTGTAACATAACAGCTTTGGCAGACGATCGCGTGCTCTCAGTTTTTGACAGTTTTCGCTTCTGTATGCTCCCATTCATGAACATGTTCAATTTTCCGCAGGCTTGTGCCTACTTCTGGGCTTTGGCGAAGTCATTTCGGTTCCGCTAGCATCTTTTGTGAAGCGATTTGGCCTCGCTGCCCGCGGTCACGTGAGCCCCGGCCGTCGACGGGTGTCTGAGGCGGGTTTGCCACGCTGCCCGGGGTCAGCCGAGCCCCGGGCCGTCGGCGGGCGTCTGACGTCACAGGTGGTGCCAGTTGGACGCCCGGAGTCAGACAGTTGGCGTCAGTGGGGCGACCGGGCGCGGCGCTCTGTCACCGTCGCATTCGATCAGCGCTGCGGTCCGCCAGCCGCGCCACCGCCTCCTGCGCTCATGCTCGGCTCCGGGCCCGCGGTACACAGCTGGCTCTTCTCTCAAGGCTCCACTGGCAAACAGATGTCACCTTCGCTATGGTCGGAAGGTCCTCCGCTCTCGTATTCGTTCCTTTCTATCTAATTCCCAGGTGTTCCACACTTATCCGCTGTTTCTTTTCTTGCACTACGACGCTTTCGTTCCACAGCCATTCCCTTACTCGGAAGTCCGACTGTCTCTCCGTGCCGAACTGAAGTCTAGCGCAGGGTGCGAAAGTCTACAAAAAAACACGTATTACGACAATGGGCTCGGACGTATGTTAAGCGTTTGCGGTTCAGGAAGTGGGAAGCTTTGGAATTTTCACGCTTTTCCTACCTCCGTCGCTGGAGTGCTTCGTAAAGGGCAGCGGACACTGGCAGCTCAATGGTGCCACAGAAACACCCGACTTTCTCAGGCGGCCCACAGATCTCTGAATGACTTGCAATAGACCGCTGAAACGGCCAATGATCGCAAGAAACGACCAGCAGGGTCCGATCATTATTCCCCGTAGGTGCTCAAGCATATTGATTTATATGCGAGGCAGATTACCAGGGCTCGTAAAAATCCCATAATTGGCCTCGGGCTCGCAAAACGGTGCGCTGTCTTTTGGTCAGAAGATGCACTTTCAGAAGTGGAGGGAACACCGGAGAATATAAGACCGTATAACTAACTGAGCCAATACGGTAGCTCAGCTGGCATGGCTCCATCCGCTTGCTGATGTCTGAAAGGCATGTGGGTTCGTGTCCCACAAACACCGAGTATGCCAAGGGAGACAGACTAAGACAGGAACGACCGTTGTTGCGGCGTGGTGTTGCGCGTCGAAGTGTATCAGAATGATTATCCGCTGAAATGGAATTATTGTACTTGGCGATGCGATGAAGCCATTCACATCGTGTCACGCTCAGCAGATACTTTGATCGCAAGGTTTTTGCAGCATAGCGTACGCTCAGGCTTCTAAAGTAAAAAAAAACAGCAACAATAACATTACAACCGATACATTTAGTGTTGATTTGTGGCAACATCCTCGCTCACACCCAGTCGGCAGTATTCAATCACTGGCACAAAGTGAGGATATTCACCTTCTTGTCTATAATGAGGCTCGTTCATGTAGGCATTCACAGGTACTCCTCCGCCCACAAAACCATGCATGTTCACGTGTTGCGCATTGGTTGCGCAGGGTGTTAGCGCAATTGCACAAAAAACAGTTTCGAATGTCCGCGGGTGGCCGCGCTGTCAACAACTTCACGCATGTGGCGTAAAAACTGTTCTAAGCGTGGTCAGCGCACCACCGTGACGCCCCCTGGGTACATTACTGAAGTAGACGGGAAGGCCCCACCGACGCCAAGTTTGAACACACAAAAACAAATTGGCATGATGAGAGATGTATATGACAAGTTTTCGGGATTTCCTCGCAGTTTGGAAGTAACGTGCGTCCTCCGCAGTTGATGCGACTGGAAATGTCTCCACAGTTACTCTGGTTGACTTGATAACGGTCGTTCAGCTGTGGTGGGTCAAACAAGACAGATGGCTTTCAGAACCACTTTTGCCTGCGTTTTACTGTGTTGTCAACTGGAATCCAATCAAAGTCATTGACCGATAAGAATAGGCCACGACGTGGGCGTTGCGGTCATCGCGGATGATGCCCCCTCCCCACCCCCTCCTGACAGTCGTGTGACACCCCACTGACGCCCAGTGACACGCCGTTGGCACCCCGCTAACTCCCGGTCTCCGTCCCGGCAGGCGCGGCTGAGTGACGCCGCCTCGCTTGTCCAGCTGGTCCGCGGCTGCATGCGCGCCGCCGCCAGCCTCAGCGTGCCGCTCGAGGTCAAGGTCAAGCAGGGCACCGCCTGGGATCAGCTGACAGAGGTGGCCGAGTGAAACACCGTAAGTGGCCGGGAGGCGTGAGGCGTCAGAAAGTCTCGCGGTTGTCTGCGCCGGTTCGCGCTGGAGGGACGTCCGACCGCCGCTGGCCGGGCGTCTTCGCCCTTGCCTGTCTCGGCTTGAGGCGGGTCGGGTCCGATTACGCCACGCACGGCTGGCGCCTTGTCAGTCGACTGAGACTGCTCGGGCGCCGCCGAGAAATCCCTCCGACACTTCCAAGTGCGTGGTACCCACCAGACGGGCTGGTTCGCGGCCGCGCGCGCTCACGCTAGCCTCGCCGTGCCGCTCGGCGTCAAGGTTAAACAGGACCGAGGTGGGGTCGTTGATCGGGTCAGTACGAGGCGCACTCAGTCACGCTCGTATGTTAGCTCCAAGTTTGCGACCGGATGCGGGCACGCGCAAAGTGCACTCCCTCATTCGTAGCTGGGGCATTGCGTGGTACTCCGAGCAGGTGCGATGAAAGCCGCGTGACGGGGTGATAGCGTGTCTGCCTGATGTGGCGGTATCAGACTACCACATCCTCATACGATCGCAACTATCAACGCAACCCGAGCAGTTGCGTGCCGATCACCATGTGAACAACACCTAAGAGAGTGAATCACACCTCAGAGCATTGGCAGATGTGGCACGACGTCCCAGTGGACACGCTTAATTGGAAATGGCCCTACCTTATCGTGTTCTCGTTTTTTTTTTCAACTGGGAAGATATTTTGTCCGCGAATGTAGGACTGAGGCTGTGACGCATGCTTTTTATATTGTTTGCTCTTGTCTTGTCTAATATCTCCTGTGTATTAAACAGTCTGGACAGAGGAAGAAGAACCCCAAAACATGCATGCAGTCATTTTGTATTGTGATGTCAGCAGAACCCGCGGCTGCCTCCAATTACGCCGGCAAAACACCTGCTTGCATAACTCGTTTATCAAGGTGGCGGGCGCTGCGAGCAATGCATGCGTAGTGGGCCCAGATATGAGCAGGCCGGTCCAGCTCTTCTGCCCGACGGCCAACGATCTGAATATCAGATAAGGAGACCAACACAACCAAACGCACAGGCAGGCTTTGCTCATTTGGCAAGTGGTGCAGGATCGCGACCGCGAGCAGGCCAGCATCGAATTCTAGGCGGCGACGAGTTACGAACGTCGCGTCAGTTGCCCGAAAACCAAGCCTGGAGAGTGAAAAGTTTTTGCTTCACAGTCTTGGGGTCGTGGCATTAGCCCCGTGAATGCGCCGATGGAGTTGCCAATCCAATAAAAGATCATCGGATTATTTACGAAAGTAATTTAGCGACAAGCTGTGGCAACTGCCATTGCAAGCTTTTAAAGGAAGCCAGAGGAGGAAGACAATTACATGTCATTCCTTGCTCTAAACGGAGCATTAGACAGAAACAGCCCTCCCCCTCTACCGCCACCGCTGCCGTCACCACCACCACCACCACTATCCGGTCGCTCCTGACCGGATACATTGTGCTTAGCACCCCAGCCCGCTCCCCGGCGGCCGCCCTTCGGCGAGCCGGCGCTGTCAGGGCGCCGCGTCCGGCACCAGCGGCGCCGTGCAGCGCGTGTCACGCCGCCGCCGTCGGCCGCCGCCCTTCCCGTCGCAGCCCGCCTCGTTAGAGGCTGGCAGATGACAGGATTGGCGGCGCCATTCCTGCGCCTGCCGCCGCCGGGCCGCGCTCGGCCGGTCGCCGGCCGCGACCGGTGGCGGCGGCCGCGGCGCCGACGGGCGAAGCGCCGCCAGGGCACGGCCCTGTCGGCTGGAGCTGGGGTCGGACCGAGGGGGCTCAGAGCCGGCCTCGGGCGGACGGAATGTCCGAGGTAGGCGGGCCAAGCGGCTGCCCGTCGCCGACTGAGACCAGCTGGAGGTCGGAGATCAGGACGGGCCGGCCTCGGTGGGGTCCTGTGGGAGTGGGTCAACCGCGAGCAGCAATGTTACACGGATACTGGCGCTGCTGAAGTGTGGGGTGACCTTTGACGAAGCGCGGTCTCTGTGGCCTTTAAAATTATCAATACCATGCACCAGAAGATGATCAAGAACGTCTCTGCGTTCGACATTCTCGGATTGCGGAGAGCATGCAGACGGATTCCGCATGCCATAGCAACATTTATGGCGCTGTGGCACCCGACGTCTTTCTTGCGCTCCATACTTGTTCCATTCTGTGGCCACTGGATGCCTTCTGGCTGACGACCCACATGTGCATGGTGGTGCTGCGTCCAATCCTAACGCTGTCGTGGGTACATTAATGCATGAATAGCGGGTATGGGCTAGCTATGAGCACGGGACACTCGATGATATTTGTTTTTTCATGCGCACGCACGGCCAGGTATGCTCGGCAAGAATGATAGAAGTTGAGATAGCGTTCGTGCATTTTTGGAGACAATGTGTTTTGCTTGCGGACTGCATCTTTTGACAGTGAATTAGCTGCCATTTGTGTGTTCATATATTTGCCGTCATCCCATTGGTTTCAGGATGTGTGGACAGTATGCTCTACGAGTAAGTCAGACGTTTACACCCCATTCATCCATGGGACAGATACAGAAACGAGCCAGACCATATGTGAGCCAAAGACCATCGGCATTCGTCCTGCCAGTGCATGCACATGTCTTCCAGTCTGGCGCGCCGCAGTCATCTCCGCTTCTCGGTTCCAGGCTAATCCAGTGACGTCATCACCAGGGTGCGATGACGTCACTGAACGAGAGCGCGGTCGTCGCGTCCGACGGCTCTATGGGCCTGGGCACGCAGATCTTCGTGGGCACCTTCCTCTCCATCATCATCGTGATGGCCGTGTCGGGCAACATCCTGGTGTGCGTGGCCGTGCTGACGGACCGCAACCTGCGCAAGGTCGGCAACCTCTACATCGTGTCGCTCAGCTTCGCCGACACCACGCTGGCCGGCCTGGTGATGACGTTCGCGCTCGCCAACGACCTGCTCGAGTACTGGCCGTTCGGCAGGCAGTTCTGCGACGTCTGGATCGCCTTCGATGTCATGTGCAGCACGGCCAGCATCCTCAACCTGTGCGCCATCTCGCTCGACCGTTACATCCACATCAAGGACCCTCTGCGCTACGGTCGGCTCGTCACCAAGCGGGTGGTGTCGCTGAGCATCGGCGTCATCTGGACGATGGCAGTGCTGGTGTCGTTCGTGCCGATCTCGCTGGACCTGCACCGGCCACCGCCGCCGCGGCCGCCGCCGGTGGACGAGCGCGGCCTGCCGCAGTGCGCGCTGGATCTCAGTCCGCTGTACGCCGTAGTGAGCAGCTCCATCAGCTTCTACATGCCGTGTATGGTCATGCTGGCTATTTACAGCAAGCTCTACCTTTACGCCAAGCGTCACGTGGAGAGCATCAAAGCGCTGAGCAAGCCGGTGACGTTCGGCACCATTGACGGCGTGGCGCCGCCGCCCGCCTGCAATCGCTGTCACGTGTCAGAGGGCAAGGCGGCCACCACCGTCGGCATCATCGTGGGCGTCTTCCTCGTGTGCTACGTGCCCTTCTTCTGCGTCAACATCGTGGCGGCCTTCTGCAAGACGTGCATTCCGCGGCTCGCCTTCCAGACGCTCTCTTGGTTCGGCTACAGCAACAGCAGCTTTAACCCCATCATCTACTCCATCTTCAACGTGGAGTTCCGGGAGGCGTTCGCGCGCATCCTGGCCAAGGTGCGGCGCGCGTGCGTGCGCCTGTGTCAGCGGGCAAGCGCTCCTGCCAGGCCGCGCCAGGCGTCTCACTGTAAGTCGGCCACGTCACTGAGCCGCCTGAGCACGGGCACGGTGCCGGCGCAGGCGGCCGAGGTCGACGCGCCGCTGGTGGAGCGCGTGTCGGCCATGTGACGGGGCGCTGCTGCCGCCCACCCGCCGGCCGCTGCTGAACTCATGATCTGACGGCGCGTCCGGCTTCGGCGCGGGCGGAGCGGCGCTCCCGAGCGGGCCGGCTCGTCTGGCGGAGATACGCGAGGCAACGGCTGATCCGACCCGAGTGGTGGGACAGACGGTGGTCCCACCGAGGCGGGGGGAGGGGGGGGGGGGCTCGAGCGTATGCCCTGGCGGCGGCAGAAACGTGATATGGCCATTGGTGGCATGATGATGCGCTCCTGAATCGGGGCTGACTGCGCGGTCATCGCAGCGTGTTTGTCGACGTTCCGTGGAGCTTGATGTCCGTGTGCCCTTGCCCGTCGCCCTGGCCTCTGGCCGGCCGAGCCGACCTCAGGTCGCCCTCCGGCGCTGGCGGCGACTCGGCCTGGGGCTCCGCTCCCTATGGTGTTTCTGCGGCCGTGTGAATGTCGATTGCCACTGGCGATACCACGCGCCCGCCGTTGTTATGATCGGTGCTTGCTGCGTCCCATGATCCGCCACATGGACCTTGCGTCCTGTGCGTGCCCGGTAGCCCCCTCCTGGGGCATGTTTCCCTGAAACTTGTTGTTGCGTGTTGCGTGTCCGGAGGATGTGTACACGACTGCTCGTATGTTTGCGCTGGGGGTGGAGCGCCGGTTGCATGGTTGGACCCAGCTTTGTAATTAAAAATCCACCGATGCAAACACAAATATAAGTTTCATTAAACGGCCTTATTAGGTTTGCGTCGAACGAGCGAGACTACAGCTTACAACGGGCGAACTCAGTCGTGTCGCGGCCCAAGAGGGAGTCGAACCAGCGCTCTCTGGGAGCTGCTGATGTCGTGCCGCGGCAACATAAAGCGGCATGGCGTGGGGTTCGCTGTACGTTTGAAGTCGCGCGGAGCGGGGTGTCACGAAGCTTTAGTCGGATTTTTGACAATCGCTGGAGAATGAGCACTAGATTTAAGACTTGGTGATCCTCATGGTATCAACCAACGCCGTTGATGAGACCAGTGCATGGCTCTCGCAGTGGAGCGACTAACCACCTCCCAGCCTGAAACCTTTCTCGGTGGCTGGGATAACCGCAAGAGCTTAGCTAACTCATGTCATTTGATCGTATCTTGGTCGCTTGCAGTTAACGGTAGGAACCCAGGCCCGCTGCGTTCACAGGCCGGATCTCATATGCATGCCTCAAGAGCCTTTTAAACGGCGCTAAGACCGTCCAATTTACCATTTACACGTTGCCATGCCACTGGGCTTTTTCGTGACAGAAAAAAGCTTTTTGCTGACACCCGTACCGTCTTTGGTGCAAGTTAACATCCGGGATGGCCTCGTACACGCCTTTCCTCGTCTTGCGCTCATTCATCGTGCGAGAGCTACCAAACAACAAAAAAGCTGAGGACAGCGGCAAAATCTGAGGTCGTCTGTGCTGACAAAAATCGGACCCTTTCGTTCAGAATGCGGGCCGCTTGACTTTCTTAGGATCCCCGATCGTTTGTAACCCTAGCGATTTTGTAAGTCCCATTCCTTCGCAGTCACTGCCTGGCAGCCTTCGGACACTTGATCGCTTTGACAACAAACTGCTTGCTAGTTCTAACCTCCCCGCGGCGAACGGACTCCTGATATAATACGGCACACAGATTCTTTTGGAAAAGCGGAGTGGGTCGGAGCTGACATGTCTTTAAACCCATTAAGTTCATAAGCCTAACGATATTTCCAGTGGCTTCAAATGAGCAAATGCAAAATTTAATCTAGTTCCTGTACCCCCTAAACGTTAATTTATCTAGTTCCTGTATACCCGCTGAAGCTTAACGGAGATACTTGTTCATGTGAATTGTCCATGCAAACATTTTTATATGCAACGAAATGTTATTCCATGTAGCATCGCACCAGCCTGCCAACCATTGTTGTGTTTTTCCATTTGATCTTTCGGTGTCAGAAACTACAGAGCTCACCACTGAAAAAGTGTTGTGGTGGTTAAGCGCATTACAAGCTTGATTGCTTTAGGATCAAGATGAGCAGACCGGCAAATAAATACAGCGACAGGCATTGGTCTTGAATCGGGTTTGAAGGCGCGTTAACTGTTGTCTAAAATGGGTTATACTCTTGAGATGCGTGATGTCCCATTCGTTTTCTAATTCGAACATGCGCGTGAACTACTCCTGAGTGTTTGTGTGTGATTTCAAAAAAATGTACTGGATTCATAAAAAAGGTTCCGTGGTTGGTTCAGAATAATCACTGTCCTAAATATGTGCTGAAAATACATTGTTGACATCAACGACGTCGTCGTTGATGCATCTGGCCATTTGCGTGCTGATTCGTATTTGTTCGATGGCACATTAGCACTGGCGTCAACAACGCATTAGTCGGTTGGATGGTCTTAGCAACGACCGCATTGTCATGGATTTTGTCAATTAACCAGCGAACGCCGGATTAACCATAATATGGAGAAGAGGCTATGATAAAGATTAAGTTGCATAACAAAGCTTGAACTTGGGAACTTACACTATATCTCATATGACATAGAACATTTAGCAATAACCAAAAGGCACTGTATCAGATAACACTGTGATCTCGCTGTTCTCTTGGCTGTAATTGGAGCGTTACAACGTACTCGGCAGCAAAGGCTCTGTGGCGCCGCCTGCCTCTTATCCTGGCAGGAAGAGCGGGCATCACGGGGACCGGATCCCGTACCTCTTGTTTCCTAGACACCGGTAAAACGCGCTAATGGAACAGTACTCCATGCTCTCGAATCACGGAGGAGCATGGCTTATTGACGCCAAAAGAGCTAATGCACCTTTACCATGTCCAAATTGTCAATTCCATATTATTTTCTGAAGAAATCACCATCAGGAAACCCATTTTGCAGCGCTTAATGGTGGCGAGAAATGATTCGAATGCATTCATATAATTCAGTTATGCATAGGGTCTACGGCACAGATTTACTTCAGCATGGGATAAGAAACGGCTCAGAATGAGGCAGAACTTCGGGCCGGTTACCCCGCGGCCATCCGTATTGCAAGTGGTGTGCACTAGCGACCGCCGCGGGTGGGCTTTGGCATATCCAACTCTGCTAATATTTGCACGAAGAACCCTCCGCTTTGTAAAGTGCTTCGAGGTTGATTGATTTGCCTTGGTGGATTCGTCTCACATTGCGAGTCTACAAAGCAATCATGACGTCTGGGTCCCAACCCATCACTCAGACGGTGGGAGTGCGGTCCATAATTGGCTTACAGTCGTTCAACCATACGCACCTGCAGCATCATTTTGAACACAGTAACCCTGTAGTTACGAAGCGTCGACAGTATTTCGCAAAATGGTTTCGCTCCAGCCCTGCATCTGTATTTTTTTCTTTTTTATACCTCAGATGATCTCCTAAAACTGCCTACAGATGCAGACGTTAAGCCGGTCATGTGGGTATCCGGTGCAAAATATTTATTTTAGCCAGCTAATGCTGCCCGGCGCAAGGCAACGGAAATGAATTTGATAAAACTCGCGCTCATAGAAGCGAGCATGCCAACGGCACACAGGTATGCGGACCACGGTAGTGCACACGTACTTGGAGATGGATAATCGATCGGTGTTTACCGCCGCAACAGTGGATCCATTAACACCGCCGTAGCAGGAGATCCCCTGGCACCGCCGCAACAGGGGATCCCTTGGCACCGCCGCAACAGGGAATCCCTTGGCACTGCCGCAACAGGGGATCCATTGGCACCGCCGTAATAGCAGATCCCTTGGCACCGCCGCAACAGAGGATCCCTTGGCACCTCCGCAACAGGGGATCCATTGGCACCGCCGCAACAGGGAATCCCTTGGCATCGTCGCGAATCGTGGCATCGTGGTCACGGGGAATCCCTTTTCACAGCCGAAACAGCGGCACTGGCTGCTCATCGGTCACGACCAGAGACGATAGATACAGATGCATTTGAGTTGAAATGGGGGGGGGGGCGGAACATTCAATCAGTAATTTAAATTCAACACGCCCTTAATTACAAACTTGTAATAAAGGGATAGGTAAGTTGGAATAAACTGACACTCGCGCCCGTCCTTCTGACCACGGAGTTGCATATATATTAAGGTCCAGCGGTAGAATGCCGCCCCCTTGCATAAATCTAACGCGACCTTGTTTATATGTGTGTTTTTTAATATTCCGGAAAAATCTGAATTAAAACAAATAAAACCAGAATTGTATGCACGCAAAATAAGTAACCACGCGTTTTTACTAAATGGCGTGGCTTGCCAAAGTTTTCCTTTTATACTTATCAGATTATCATGCATTGTGTATTAAACTCGAAGAGAAGCGAAGTGAGATCAGGATGCGAGACGCCGAAAAGTCTTGAGAGGAAGGGCAAGGCGATGGGTTGGTGCCTGGCTGATGAGACACTGACGAGAATGACAAACAGGCCGGGCATCAAGGTGAGAGCGTTCAATAGCATATGGGACTGCACAACGATCATGATAAAGTGGAGGGGGCATCACCTTCTGTACGAAGCAACGTGTGAGCTTGACGTGTCCGAAGCAAAGGCGTGCCAGCACTCGCGTCCGACACGAAAACGTGCCAGCACTCCTGTGGGTCGCAAGTAAGGTGACAATGTTCCGGGTTTTGGTAAGAGTCGATGTGATGTTTAGCGTTGGGCGTTGAGGGCATGAAACAGTGACAGAAAGTACGTGAAGACGATAGATTGTTACGAGTTGGAGCCACACGAAACAAGCTGTCGCGCCTGATTGGAGCAAGAATTGCCATCAGTTCAGCAAGGTCACCGTAGCGGAAGTTGGAAGTGCGAAATGATAGTTGGCATTGGGGCGTGCGGAAGGCGGCTCCAGTTTTGTCGTCCTGCCTGGAGCGATCGGTATGGCATAACTAGTGCCGTCCGCGAATGTGTTTGAAGTCTTCAAAGTGAGGCATTAATTCAGTGCAAGTTATCTTATTGTTTGTTCCAAACACGAGAGGAAGTAGCAATCGGTGGTCGAAGCAAGCACGCGCTCTAACCTGGGCGG